TGCGCTTCTCTCCCCACCCAGCCCTCTCCCCCCACTCCTCTCTTTCAAAAGTAAAAGAAAGATTCCCTCCCTGGTACACAATCCCCCCGCACCCCTCCCACTGCCCCAAGTACATTCCACTATGCAACCTTAATTGTGGACTCTTCACATTGTGTTTTATACAATCATTCCTACTCATTTGTTTTATAAAATTTAACTATGCCCGCCACTACCTTGTCTTGCCAGATCCTGCCGGATCTTTCCCATTTTCTTCACCCTTCTCACCACCACCCACCAAATTGTGCAACCCTATGGTTTCCCTCCTGCCTATCCTCACCCCTTTGCTCTTAACTGCCCCCCTTGGATCCTCATACACACTTTACTAGCCATCTATTTCTACAACAATGGTCTTATGCAGTATTTGTCCTTATGAGACAGAGTTCACTCAGCATAATGCTCTCCAAGTCTATCCCAAGTTATGTAGTCATTTTCGAAATCATGTGAAAGTACCACAATTTCTCAATCCATTTGACTGTGGGCATTTGGGCTATTTCTTGTAATAATGAATAATACTGCTGTGAACAATGATGTGCAAATTTCCATATATGTCTCAGTTCTAATATCCTTGGGGTATATTCCTAGCAGTGGAATAGCTGGGACGTATGGAATTTCTGTGTTCAGCTATTTGGGAAAACACCAAACCACCTTCCTGAATGGTTGTATCACTTTTCTATCCTACTAACTCCTCATCATCTCCAACATTTATTGCTTTAGTGACAATTTCCACACATTGTGGGATCACATTTTTTGGGAATGGGAATAAATCTGGATCTCTTCCAGTCAGTTGGCCAAGTAGCTGTCCTCCAGATTTCTTGACACAACCTAGTGAGCACATCCAAGGCTGCATTTGTTAATTGAAATATGTCAGTTGATATTTCACCAATTTCTAGAGCCTTATTTTTTGCCAATTCCTTCAGACCAGCTTGAAACATTGGTTCTTTTTTGGATCCTTTATTACTATTGGTTCTCGATCATATGCTACTTCCTGAAATGGTTCTGTGTCAGCCAATTCTTCTTGGTACAGTGACTCTGTCTATTGCTTCCATCTTCTTTTGATGCTTCCTGGATTGTTCAATATTTTGCCAATACCATTTTTAACCATTGCACATCGAGGCTTGAATTTGTTCTTCAGTTTTTTAAGTTTGATCAATGCTGAGCAAATTCTTTCCTGTTGATTTTCTGACCCTGGCTCTTTGCACATTTTGTTATAAGACTTTGCTTTGTCTTCACAAGCTGCTCTGTGAAAGCTATGAGTCAGTTCTAACTCAATGGTACGTAACAAAACAAAAACAATGATCGTGAGAAATTCTTTATCGGTCTGTTGGCCTGAGTGTCTTCTTTGGTAAAATGCCTTTTCTTGTCCTCTTCCCATTTTGTATCTGGGTTGTTTCTATTTTTCTTCTTCAGTTGTTGAAACATTTACAAATTTTACAAATTAGCCCTTGTTGTTTCCAAATATTTTTTCCAGTGTGTAGGTTCTCTTTAGTCTTTCGGAAATATCTTTTTTTTTTTACCTTTTGGAAATACCTTTTGATGCATGTAAAATTTTCATTTTTAGAATCACTGGCCATGGAGGCTGCTGTGCTGTGGCTCCGCTCTAGAAGTCCGGTTTCTCCTGTCTTGATGGGGGTCACGTAAAGAAAGTCCTGGTTTGTGTTTGGTCTCTGTTTGGCTTGGGTTGTGGATAATGCAATCAATATTGAAAGCTAAGTTCTTTGATGATGTTTGGTTTGTGTCAATGGTTTTTCCCTCCACAAGCAGCTTTGGCCCTAGACGACAAGGACCCAATGGTGGAGCATAGTCAACAGCATTTACTGGGTGTGTCTTTAAAATTCTGGAGGGCCCTCGGGCTGCAGGCCCTTGGGACAATTTTATTAAGATGAGAATGAATGGACCACTCCTCCCGGCGGAAGGTTGGGAGCTGTACGGTGGTGATTGAGCGAGCCTGGCGGGCGGGCGCCGAGCTCTGGCCCAGCCTCCACGTGCCCCCCAGGCTCTGCACTCCTAATGCTTTGCGGGTGTTGAGCCCTTCGTGGCCGGGACAGTGGTCAAATATTTCCTGGGCCAGAGCGTGCTCCGGAGTTCCTGGGACCAAGTGTTTGCCGCCTTCTGGCAGCGGTACCCGAATCCCTATAGCAAACATGTCTTGACAGAAGACACAGTACACCAGGAGGTTACCCCTGACCAGAAACTCCTGTCCCGGAGACTCCTGACCAAGACCAACAGCGTGCCCACTGGGCTGAGCGACTGTTTCCTGCCAATGTTGCTCACTCGGTGTCCATCCTGGAGGACTCTATTGTGGACACACAGAATCAGACCATGACCACCTTCACCTGGAACATCAACTATGCCCGGCTGATGGTGGTGGAGGAACGCTGTGTTTACTGTGTGAACTCTGATAACAGTGGTTGGACCAAAATCCACCGAGAAGCCTGGATCTCCTCTAGCTTGTTCGGTGTCTCCAGAACTGTCCAGGAATTTGGTCTGGCTTGATTTAAAAGCAATGTGACCAAGACTAAAGGGTTTTGAGTACATCTTGGCCATGCTACAAGGTGAAGCCCCTTCTAAGACACTTGTTGAAACTGCCAAGGAAGCCAAGGAAAAGGCAAAAGAGACAGCACTGGCAGCTACAGAGAAGGCTGAGGACCTAGCCAGCAAGGCGGCTACACAGAAAGAGCTGCAGCAGCATCAACAATGAGTGGAGCCATCACTGACCCTACACAGCCCTTCTACCACCACCATCACCACAGAGCAGACAACCCAACTCCAACGCCCAGCACCAGTGTGCTTGCTTATTAAAAATCAACATCCCGCCCTATCTAATGTCTAAGAGGTAGGCTGGGGCGAGGGACAAGGGTCTTGTTTGGCATCTACAGAACAGCAAGCATGTCATCCAGGGTCTGTGATGACTCTGAATTTTCCACCCACTTGGCAGCTGAGGCACAGAGAGGTACAGACGCGCCCAGGTCAGTGTGCAAGTGAAGTGGGAAATGCTAGACTGTAAGCTCTGTGAGGGCAGGGATCTGTTTGCTCTCTGATGTGTCCCAAGTATTTGGAATAATATCTAGTATGTAATCAGCACTCAATAAATAACTGTTGACTTTAAAAAAAAGATGAGAATGAACATTCTTTAAATGGTACAGCAAGTGTGTTTGTCTGTTTGCTGTACTGAATAACTTGGAGTTGCCAATCACCATGCCACAGCTGTGTCAAATGATGGTTACCCATTATGGACACTGTTTGGAGGAGCTCTCAGATTGGTTCAAATTTGGAAGAAGGAGTGGCATCCACTTCCTATGCCAGATGCCTCTGGAAACTCTATAAACTCCATAAACAAAGAAATGACGTTAATTATAGAACAGAGTTCATGTCTTTTGTTCCTAGGGTCGGTATGTATTCAGCTTGACGGTTAACCACTGCTAAGCGATACTAGTGTTGCTATATTTTGGAGGAACAGTCTTCCACTTTGTACATCACTGCTTGTCAATTTGCTGTACTGAGGTAACCTGGGTTTGCTGTGATGCTGAACCTGTGCCATTGGGGCGTCAAATACCATAACGGTTTACCAGTGTCGACAGTGTCTGGTGGAGCTCCCGGTTGCTTTTCTTTAGTTGCTTCAGCTTAAGAAATGCTGGGTGAGTTCAGCCCTTTTGATTTTCAGACTCCAGCTCCTTGCACATTTCATTACAGTACTTTGCCTTGTCTTCCCAAGTTACCCTTTGAAATCTTCTATTCAGCTCTTTAACTTCTTGATTTCTTCCCTTTGCTTTGGTTTCTTGGTGCTCTACTGCAATATTCAGAGTCTCTTCTGACATCCATTTTGGTCTTTTTTTCTTCCTCCGTCTTTGTAATGACCTTTTTGCATTCTTCATGGATGATATTGATATCTTCTCACAGCTCATCTGGTCTTCGTTCATTTGTATCCAAGGCATCAATTCTGTTCCTGAGTAGGTTTTTACATTCAGGGAGGATAGCCTCAAGATGAAATTTTTATCCCTCTGGATATGATTTGATCTTCTTTAACTTTTATTTGAACTTGTGTAGGAGTAGTTGATGGTCTGTTCCACAATCAGCACCTGGCCTAGTTTTCACTGCTGGTATTCAACTTCTCCAATGATTCCTTCCACAGATGTAATTGATTTAATTCTGTGTGTACCATCCGATGAAATCCATAGGTATAGCCTGTGTTTATGTTTCTTATGAAAGGTATTAGCAATGAATTAGCTTGATTGTGCAGAATTCTAACAATCTATCCCCAGCCTCCTTTTTGTTACCAAGTCCATGTTTTCTGACTACTGATCCTTCTTCCTGATTCCCAACTTTCACATTCCAGTCACCCATTATTATTAATGCATCCTGGTTGCATCTTCGATTAATTTCTGACTGCTGAAATTGGTAGAAATAATCTATTTCCTCCTCTTTGGGTCTGGTTTTGGGTGCATAAATTTGAATTATAGTGGTATTAACAGGTCTTCCTTTTATGAATGTCGATATTATCCTGTCACTCACAATATTGTATTTCAAGATGGATCTGCCATCTCTCAGTAACCTCAGTGAACTGGAACCAGATTCTTTCCAGAATCTCCTTGTTAAGACCTAGGCTGCTGACACCTTGAGGTCAGCTTGTTGAGACTCTGAGCAATGAAAGCAACTGAGCCCACCTGGACTGGTGACCTACAGAATTGGGAGAGAATTAGTTTGTGGCCAGGGGACCCTTTTCAACAGCACGTTCGGGGGATGCCTTCTTTTCAGAACTGTGATACCAGCATCTGGCCATTGTCCTAGGGCTTTTATCAACTCTAATGTCTGGAAATAAAAAGGTTAACAGAAGCTGTCCTTGGTCAGTTTGAATTTCTTTGCTTTTTTTTTTAGAAAAAGGTCTATTAAGGCCTTAAGACAGAGACATAGCTAGTGAATAGTAGGTAGGCCTTGTAACAGTTAAAATGAAAAAGAAAAGGGACAAGGGGGCGAAGAATCCCTGGAAAGACAAGGTTGAACCCTAAACTTACAGCATGCTGTCAGCAGAAAAGGAGAGAAAGGGCTGAATTTACTTTTTTTTTTATGCTGCCCCAGCAGACTTCCTGCAGAGAGCAAAAGGGCTGTATCCACTCTTTGCCATTGGGTTCCTCACAGCCACGACTGAATGCGAACAAGACAAGTAGCCTCCTTCTAAATGGGGTTAGTGGCATAATTTGACCATATCCTGAACGTTTCCACCTTATCCAGGTCCCATATTTTAAGGAAGAAGCATTCCTTCTGCTTGGAATGCTTCCTCAAATCACTTTCTTTCCTATATGCTAGATTTCTATGTGCCCTCCAGCCCCAGTTCCAGAGCTGTCAGCTCTCGGCTTCCCACTGCCCCAGATGGAATCCACATTTCCTTTTCTGGGCTTCCATTGGGTCTAGATAGAACACTTTCACACCACACATCATGTTGTGTTAGAATTGTATGATTTTAAGTGGATCCATTCATACTAGAAAGCATGAAATGGATTTTAACGTTTATGTGCTCCTTTATTCTCTAGAACATTATGCTTGCTACAAGCAATTTTCTTATACATGATTATTAAACTAATGTCTTACTAATTTAAAATTCAGATAAGTAGTTACACTGCCAACCCAAAGACAGGCAGTTCAAATGCACTAGCTACCCCTTGGAAGAAAGATGAGCAATCTCCTCTCATGTGATTTACAGCCTCTGAAAACCCACCAGAGGGTCAGCTATGAATCACTTCTGACTCAATGGCACACAACAACAATAAATATACATCATAGGGTTGCTATGACCCCTAGTTGACTTGACAGCACCTAAAAACCGCAACAACATTGCTTTCTTGGGGGGGGAGTGGTTTTGTTTTTGTTGTTTTGTGTGTTTTTTTTTTTTTGTTAGGTGCGATCAAGTCAGAACGGACTTATAGCCGACCTTCCAGCATGTTTTTCAGATACACTAAATCACGTGGGAGGAGACTGCCCATCTTTCTCCTGTGGAGCAGATGGTGGATTTGAAACACGTGCCTCAGGTTTGGCAGCAGCTCTATTCCTTGTCACTAGCTCCACAAGCAACACTCTTGGTACCAGCAGCCAAGAAATAATAATAAAAAAATTACATTGGGAAAATCTGCTGTTAGGGACCTTGCCAGAGTACTGAAGAGCAACCATGTCAGGCTGGAGACTAAGGTGCACTCGATCCAGGCCATGGGCTTCCGTCAGAAAGCTAGACAATGACTAGCTGTGGTCCTAGAGTAGAATACTGAATATTCCATGGACTACTAGAACAAACAGGTTCATCTTGGAGAGGGTGAAATCAGGCTGCTCCTTGGAGGCAAGGATTCTGAAGCTCTGTCTCACATATTTTGGGCATGTTTCAAGGAGTGGTCAGTCCTTGTAGAGGGACATCATGCATGGGAGGATAGAGGGAGGGCGCAAGAGAAGAAGACTGTGTATGGGATGGATTGACTCAGTAACTGGGTAATGGGAGTAGGTGTGTCAGAGACAAGGTTGGCTCAGGATAGAGCAGGGTTCAGAGCTGAGTACATCGGGTCGCTGTGAGTTGTAAGTGACTCAACAGTACATAACAAGTTGTTTAGAAAAATCCTTTTGCCTCATGTAATGCTTAGTTTCTACTCATTTTCTGCTTATAATAATCTCTCTTTTAATGTGTGGGTTTCCCAATTTTGTGAAACAGTGGTAACTCTGAATGTATTAAGTTGTTAACATAAACCCTTTTGCTGAGAGTATTATAAGTGATAGTTTTCTATTACCTTGTTGATGGCAACAACTTCCCTTTAATTTATGGCTTTCTCAATCTGCTTCTTGCTGAATGTGGACTGAAAAATTGGGGGGTGGTGAGAAAAAACCCCTCCCCCTCCTTTAAAATGCAGTAAGATTTTGTAGAAACTTGGAGAGGTGAAATGGCACTACATTGTGATGGATCAACTGGCAGGCACGGCGTTAACTTATCTTTGAATTGGAAATTTCAGCCAACAAGGGATATACACAAATTAGGGTAATAATAACACTTGTAGTTGTTGAAGGATTGTAGTTGTTGTATGATTCTGAGGTGGAGAAACTAACAAGCTTTTCTGAGTTTAAGATTTCTTATAAGGTTAGAAAAATACTGTATGACTTAGTCTTATCTTGTTTTG